TTTTTTCCGTCTCCTTCTAGAGCGCCCCACTAGATAGCAATCATCCACTCGCTGGAAAAGGGAGCGGTTCAGCAAAAAAAGATCTTTGTCTTTCTGGTTGCTGGGGGACGGAATGGGGGCTCCTCTCTTCTCCCTCGGCGTAAAGGGGAGCGAGCATTAACCCCGCACCGCCCGAGAAAAAAAATGGAAGGGGCCTGATGATGAGCGACAAGCCAAGCGCCTTTTGCCATGCCATGACTGGCTAGATTTGATCAGTCTCCAATTCCTGGGGTTCAAGACAAAGAGCCGTTCATCCTAGCCCTCCCTTGTCCGTGAAAGCGCTCCCAATCCTGTCTAGTCTGGGGCGGTTTCTGCAGGCCCCGTGACTTTCTGCCCAGCTTCCTCTAGGCCGACAAGGTCTCTTCTCACTCTGAGAGTGTGAGTGCGAGTGTGAGTGAAGCTTGTTCGCGGACCCGCAGACTCGCTGTGGGCGATTGCGGCTCCGCTGCGTCTCCGTCTCCGTCTCGCCGGGGACGGCGGGGGCGGGCTCCACTCGATACGTACCTGCCTGCCTCCCCCCGCTCCCCAGCGCTTCCACCACCACCTACACAACAACTTCCAGTCAATCAACGACTGCCTCCCACGTCCATCGAGGCTCAATTTGGTCCATGCTTCCTCCGGATTTCATCGTCCTTGGTCAATGAGTCGAGGCTTAGCGGCTTCTCCCCAGGATCCATCTCGTTTCTGTCAACACCAACGGCTGGGACATCTCCAACAACATGGGATCCCCCTTCTTCGAGAGCCGCAAACACAAAAACACATCATCACTTCCGCATGCTCCGCATCAAGTCAGTGGCTGAACGGTGATATGGAAGTTGTTGTAGAGCCGCAATTTGTTGGGATTGGTGACCTAGATACAGTCCTCTTTCAGCCCCAATCTGACTGAGAGCTAACCCTTAAACATACATGCCATGCCATGCCCTCCATCCCCATCCATCTCCAGCAGCAGCAGCAGCATCTACGGGTCCGCGACTCCATGCTTCTACCCCGCTAGATCACTCTCATCCGTACATTCTGCGTACGCCTCGATTGCATAACCCCACATCCGGGGGCCGCAGTCTTTCTCCTCATCCCCGACATCAGGGGACTGGCCGTCGGGTCAGGGACCAACCAACGTGGGCGTGAGGATAGGCACGCACGTACCGGGTCCAGATAGGCAGATCTGACCCCAGACTTCCGTTGCTACGAGCGTCACGACAGACACGACAGACACGACACGTTGGCTGGCTCGTTGCGGCTGCCACATGGACTGACCACTCGACGCCCCGTGTCCATCGCTCATCCGCACCGGCCCATTCGTGGCTTAGTGGCCCCTGCTTTCCCTCCTGGTCAAAATGCCTCTCGAAATGGACTGATGTCTGACTGCTTTCCCTCCGAATCGTGACGGCAATCTTCGGAACTTACGATGGCCCCCCTATCCCCCAGATTCTCACCCCAGACCCTCAACCCTTAACCCAGGGCACGGCCATCCCCGGAATCTCGCCCCAGATTCACTCCCCAGACTTTCTTTCATCCTCCCCAGACTCTCAGACCATCAGACCCCATGCTATCGAGCTCAGACTCTGCGCGGTTTCTAACGCGGATGCCGCCGAGAAACTGCTACTACTCTGAATCTTGCTCACAGAGATTTAGATTTGCGAGAGAGATTCAGAAAGATTCAGATCTGTGATGTTTCCTCTCTAAGGAGCCAAATTACTGACTTGTTTGTCTTCTATGGTATATCTGGCCCTCCATGCTCCATGACTCCTACAGACCTGTCGAGTATTCTCTTGAAGATACCCGAGTTGGACCCCTGAAAATGGTCCGACATTTCCAAGAGCAAACAGAACTTGCTCGGCTTTTGGTGAAGCCTAGCAAACACTCAGAGAGCTTGGAGCACCCAGGCTGTTTGACGCCAGCCGTTGGGAGGCGATCAGGTGACATGCACCTAACGCTCCGAGGTAGGCAGGCACTACTGGTTCTTTCGGACACTGGCAGCAGTCCTTCAGCCAAAGGCAGAAGATTATTTGGATTGGCTTTTGGTAATTTTCTACCTATTCAACGGTTTGATTTGCTGGGATGTCTCTTCAGCCAATGGCATTGCAGACAGTATCTGCGAATAGCCGCTGAGCTGCCAGTGATGAGGCACTGCCAACCTAAAAGTCAGTGCAGCACAAATATGCTCAGGCTGTGAATCATGCAGGATGTTGCCTCAAGTTCCCGTGCACTTTCATTTTCAACCCACAACAATCATTTATCCATTAATCGCATCGCACGCCGCCCTCGCGCACGCGCGCTCGATCCGAACTCCTCACCATGGCCGTCCTCCCTGGAGTATCCCATGTATCGGTGAATGTCAGGGTCGCCGGAGAGATTGCGACAGAACATGAAGTCGCAAGCGATCAGGCCCCCGTCAATGATGCTGACACAGAGCTTCCTTCTACCCACTGCTACATCGAGGCAAAAACTGGCGCGGAGTTCAGTGTCGAAATGACAGTGAATTCCAGCTTCCATTTCCCTCAAAACAGCAACGCTCTCTCGATGCATGTCTACATTGATGAAACTTGGATGAGGCACAAGTTCGTCCGAGGGGGAGATTTCGCTGGACTAGCGACCAAGACCATAGAAGCCAGTGATACACTCTGTCACGCGGATCAAGATGGTGGAGAGCCTGTTTTCAAAAACTTCACGTTTTCTACAGTCGTCACAAGTATGAAGTTTTGCTTATCCGCTTAAAGCAACAATCCATAAGCTAACAACGGACACCAGGCGAGACTGTGGCTAGTCAAGATATGGCCAGTGAGGTAGAGCGTGTTGGAAGCCTGGGGATCATCGAGGTGGCTTTGACGGCAGGAATAACCGGCGAGACTGTCACTCTCACTCCAACCAATGGCCTCCAAGACCAAGAGCGAGAGATCCCGGAAAAGGCATTGAAAGGCAGAGAGCTTAGCCATCGGGGGACGTATGTCTCTTACCTGAGATGGTATCGCTTGAAACACGTCGCTGACGAACCGCAGCCTGACAGCCAGCACCAAACCCACCAATCGAAACGGCACCCAGATTACTCAGGTCGAGGAGCTTGGAACAATCTTCTTCTATTATCGATCCCACGGTACGGGAGTGACTTCACCAAGGGGTAGTGGAAGGGGGGTGACTGATCCGAGATACAGAAGCCCTTCAGCGGGAAACGATTATCCCACGGTCTCCGACACCAGAAACACAGGCTCTAGCCGCATCGTCTCCGGTTGGAGCTAACCTCTCGAACCTCTCCGAGGACGAAATTCGGCGTCTAGCTAGGGAAAGATTGCGTGACCTCCAAGTAAGCTACCGCCCACACCGTCTAGCGAGCTGCTCCCATGCCAAAGGATTCGACCCAACGCAGTATATTCTCACCATGTTGCTAACTTGAAGGCCAGGTCAAGACTGAGCCCGGACGCGTCAAGAGGGAGGCTGAATCTGTGCCACGAGTGGTCCGGCCTCTCAAGGTGGTCAAACTGGATGACGGGAGAGAGGCCTTTGACCTCACCGAGGACGATTGAGGCAAAGCATGAGGTTTTGTGTCTTTTCATCTGTGTGATTTGGCGATGGTGATGGCGTATGGAATACGGATTAAATGTCTGACTGTGGCAGTCGGAATCACTTTGTGGAAAACACATGGCGTTGTGGGAAAAGGGACTTGACGGCGTATCGGCAGTCAACCACTATGATGAACACGTTGAAAGCATCTCGATTTGTAGTGCGAGCTTCAGAACCAACAAGTTAATGTTTTTCATTATTGAGTGGCGTTTAATTTAACACTATGAACGTAGTCGGGGTTCTAATCTCTACTTGCAACGAGATATTGCTGGCATCTGGCCCTGGCAGCATCTCGTGTTATTCCAGGTTAGTCAAACAATGGAGGTAATGCTTGACTACCTACCCAGTTGCAACTGACACCAAAGCCCATGGGAGTAGGGAATGGGAGATTGAATGAGGAGAAATCTGTTCGATGTAGATGTGTAGGCTATTTAAGCCATTCGAGTACTCTATTGTTGTCATTAGCATTGCTTGTATCGTATCTGACGGTTGATATAAGGCTGGTTGGATTTGTTGGCCGGCGACTACGTTCCATTGCCAACCCTCACTGACGCAAACACCAATAGTATTGTCCAACATCTAGCCTGGATTGCTTACATACTTCCTGTACCATGGCAGCGCATCCCATTTCTCCTTCTCATGGTCTACCAGTGCCTGACGAAACTGCTTGACCATCTCCTCGACTTTCGCCTTGCCGGTAAGGTGGGAGCGGCGTTTTAAAGTCCGAAGTGGTACTCCGGTCTTAAGGGCTCTGTGATGCGCTGTGCAGCATCTTGCTCGTGACCTACATGATGCGAGGACGAGGCGGGTGTGTCTGAATGCTCTGAACATGGTCGTGTCTAGGTTAGGACGTTGTGAACAGGGAATATTTGAGGATGGAACAAAGAGCTCGGCGATGATGGATGAAGACACGTTTTTAAAGCCAAAATTGTTTCTAAATTACTACCTCGAAATGGAAATTTTATTAAAACTTCGATTGGCACATGATGGCCATAACAATTTGATCTCGATGCAGTGGGAAACTCTCATCACCTTGAGTCTATACGTTAAAGTCGGGCCTCCCGCTTGCGATCACATGTACGTACCCTTTGGCTCGGGCAGGGGTTGCGCTCCACGCATGTACCTGCAGCGATTGGTGCAAGTAGCTCCGGGGCTCCCTGCCAAGCCCGCCCAAGCGTGAACCTCCTCCGTCTCCTTTCACCGAAACCCTCATGACGTTGCATCTCGCTCAACTCCTCAGCAGCTCCTGCTATCGCATCCATTTAATCGATCATCTCGCGTCTCCCGCGCCGTCGCCTCGATCCCGACAATGCCCTCGTGCGGAAATGCTGCACCTGCCTCCGCATAGCCGTCTCCAACTACGCGCTCATCGCTGAGGAGGCTGTCCTGTCCTCTCCTCTCTCGCAATGGCGCCAGACGGACCGAGCAACATCCGCGTCTTTATCCGCTGGCACGACCAGACTGTCTTCGCCGGCGAGGAAGTCAAATGTACCATCACCTTTAAGAATGTCGCGCCAGGTCCGGGTCAGCCCAAGCAGCCGCCGCCGCAGTCGGAACGGAGTCGACTGGCCTCTCCTTTGCTTGGGAGGCCCAAGTCCAACCATGGCTTGACCCCGCCGCCGTCGGCATCCTCGGGCAGAGGCCATCGTCGCTCTGCTTTGTCTTTGAGTGTGCCGTCGTCGCAGACTCATAGTCGGTCGGGCTCGGTACAATGGCCGTCTTCTGCGAGCACAACCGATCGCCAGCCGGGACACTCCCACAAGCGCTCGATCTCGATTGTCTCGATTGGATCAACAAGTACTGTTGAGGACCATCTCCAACGAAATGAAGTCCCGACGCGACCTCAACGGCCTCATCGCGGTCACGGCCGTGCCTCTAGTTTACAGATTATCCCTCGGGCCCAGAGCCATCCCTCGCCTGGGCCTCATTCTGGTAGGTAGCGTTACTCGAGTTTATGGCCATCAGCTAACTTTTGGACTGCCAGCATCATTCTCTCCTCGTTTCTCTAGCTCACCTTTATTCCATGCTTCATATCCACCACCCGATCGATTTGGCCGAATGTCTAGACCACCTACAGCTCCTAATACACCAGCTCTTATCGGCCGAAGATCACCGAGGGCCTCTCCGAGACCATCACCGAACCCAGTACCGGAATTCCACTTCCCTGCAGCGCCGTCGCCAACCGCGGAGGTACCACCAAGCCTATCAAGAACAACAAACGAGAGCATGCTTAGCCCTAGAAATGGTGCAGCCGAGTTCAATGGCCTGGCCGTGCGCACTAAGGATGGCGTTCCAACGATCAATGAACAGCCTGCTCCCGCTGCCCGGATTCTGGCAAGCAGCGGCATCTTGGGAGGAACACCAAGAAGCAGTGGAGAATTTTACTCCGTCAGCAACAACTCGTCGGAAACCCTCGTGTCGGAATATGTGACACAGCCGCCAGTACGGGGGCACGCGCGACCTCTTCGAAGAAGTCTCGGTATGCCATTGCCGCAATCAAGAGCACCAGAGTCTTTGATGATGGGATACGCCCAATTACAAGGCTCGTTCACACTGGACGGATCGCTGATCAGCCTCAGCCCCTTCGACCAGGTCAAGAAGAAGGCCATTGTCGGTCAAGGGGGAGGTGTTGTTGGCCTCGAGTCCAAACGTGATAGTGGCCTCCTGGGAGGTTTTGGATGGAGCAGACTCAGCAGCTCCTTGGGCGACTTTTTGGGTGGCGGAGAGCTCAGCACCATCAAGGAGATGCGTGGAGTGGCCAACTCGAAATCAGTACCTCTCCTTACGACACCACAGTCTATTCTTTTTGTTGATTTGCAACTGGCACCCGGAGAAAGCCGGGTATTTGAGTATTCGTTCCGATTACCCAAGGGACTTCCTCCAACTCACCGAGGAAAGGCAGTCAAGATTTCCTACAGTCTAGTTATCGGAACTCAGAGGGCAGGAGGATCCAAGGAACAACAGGTCAAATCCGTCGAGGTTCCTTTCCGAGTCCTTGGAAGTGTGAACAGCCACGGTGAGATCTTGGGACACGATCTCATGAATCCCTATATCTTGCTCAGAGACCAGGCTCAGGTTAAGAGCCCATCGAGCACTGGCAAAGGAGCAAAGACGAACGGAGTGCAAGGACGGCAATCTTCGTTGAACGATTTCCTCCTCTACGTGGACGACCTGGTGCACAGGCCCCGAGATGAAAGTGGTAGTATCCTTCTCTCACCAACAGGCGGAGGAAACTCGAGACGACCGTCAGTATTTGAGGACGCGGGCACTGCCCAAGAGGCAATTCATTTGGCGATTATGAGAAGCAACATGACGTCCGGGGGACAACAGAGCCCCAACCGATTTGAGATCGCCCGCAACGGACAACGAGTTGGTGTTGTTATGCTTACAAGGCCGGCATACCGACTGGGAGAAGTTGTTACCATGGCGATTGATTTCACAGATGCCGATATCCCATGTTATGCGGTACACACTACGCTCGAAACATCAGAGAAGGTAGACGCGTCTTTGGCGATACGATCCGAGTCGAGCATTCACCGAGTGACACGAAAGGTACACTCATCATCATCTGAGGCAACAATGTACTCACGCCGCGTCACATTTAATCCGACAATTCCGATAACAGCTACTCCGGAGTTTGTGACAAGCGGAGTGAGTCTGGATTGGAAGATTCGCATCGAATTTGTGGTGCCATCGCAGGGGAATGATTCCTCCGACAGCGTTGAGCGACTGGCGCCTCACCCACTGTTGGAACAGATCTCTCAAGATGAGAAGGGTGGCACAGTACTTGTGGCCGTGGAGAATCTGATATGTGAGAGTTTTGAAATTGCGGTACCCCTGCGCGTCTACGGCGCAGTTGGGACAGGACTCGAGCGGCTTGAACGAGATGAGGCTTCAGAAGAGGGTCTTGTAGTATGATGGAGTTGGATTGACGGGCAAAACTGTGCTTGTGCTGTTGGATATTAACCATACTTATGGGATGGATGTTGGTTGGCTGTTTACACAGAATAGCGAGGGAGGAGGAGCTCCTGAAGATGGACATGCTGGGGATTAACAGAACATATACAATGGGGTATAGTCAGAATAAAAGACCATTCTGGGTCTATGGAAGCACGAGCTATTAGCATGAGCATGAGGATATGTGACTGAAGTATAAGAAGTGAACCGGAAATGTTTCATGCGACCATGGCCAAGACCGGTAGAGTGGGAATGGACACTGACACGGACCTCAGACACGGATAAGAAAGCATACGCGGCAGATGAGACAGCTGACAGTTGACAAAGGGACGCGGCCTGAAGCTAATTGTCAAAGCCTTGAAAAAAAAAAGGGGATTGGGATTGGGATTGGGACTGATCGGCTGGTTCAAGAGCCGGGGTTTTGGTGGGATCGGCTGGTCTGCCACCAACAGCCACCGTGCCGGGACCCTTGGATGAGGAGCGAGACAATCACGTTTAATAGGTACAATAGCGAGAGGCGCAAAATGGCTGAGATGGCAGGTATGGTGATAACGAACCGACGGGCGGTGGGAGAGACCTCATTTCGCAATGTGCCAGGGTCAAAGGTTGGCGACAAGGCATGGATTGGCGGATAATAGACAGCTTTTCTATTCGAGGAAAGGACTCATGTGGCGTCGAAGCCTCGGGCAAGATTTGCTTCTTTGATTGACTTGGTGCGACGAACGAGGCTTTTGGACTGGGTGGGATGAGGTTCTTTGTTGATGTTGTTGTTGGTGATGATGAGCGGGATCCGCCAACCGCAGCACAATGATGAGAGGCTGCATGAGTAGTGTGGCTGTTGATTCGACAACGGAGAGGAGATATGTGAAAGGCGCTGCTGAGAGGATGCAGGCTGAACCTCGAAGCTGAGCCCTGAAACCCAGGAATACCAATACCTCAGCTGTCAAAGGAGCTCCCCCTGTCGATTGCCCATCCAGGGCCCCTTATCATGATCACCAACACGAAGACTCTGTACCCAATTCCCAAGGCGAGGCAATCTTTCACCACCGTCCTTGCCGGAAGTGATTCGAGGTGACAGCCACTAACGGGAGCGCTAAAAGCCGGGATTCCAGAGTCAAGGGCAAGGGTCAGCTCTCAGGCCACTGGTCAAGAGGGTCGAGACGTGAAGCTGACCGGAGGGCGGGCAAGCCGCCAGGCGAGAAACGTCAGGCTCTGCTGGCCCGTGCTTCCCGCTTGCAGGCGTCCCCGGCCAACGGACCCACCAAAACAAACCCCGGCCGGTGGTCGGGGCTCCTTTCCCTTGGGAAGGACCTTGGCCTCGGGCCCTGGGAGGGAAGGCAGGCAGGAACCCAAGGTTTCGTGGACGGCAAGAACCATCATTTCAACATTCCATCCAGCAGGCCGGACTCAAACCTTCCTTTCCTTCTCTTCTCAACCACCTTCATTCACGCCTTTCGAACCATCGTCACTCGCTTCAATTGTCGCTCATTTGATCACTTGCTTGTCAAAAGTCACTGTGCGCATGACTCCTTTCTTTTTTTTCTTCCCACTTCCAGCCCCTCTGTGTGCAGTAGCTAACCGCTTTCCACCCCCCACAGCCTTTAAGCTTTGCAGATTCGACCTCTCTTTCATCTTTCTTCTCCTCCCCCATCGGCCCGTGTAGGTCCGCAGCAGCTCCCCGACTTACACCGCCCGTCATCCACTTCTGCAAGCATCATCCCGATTTGATTTCTCTTGGGGCAACCGGCTTGTTTCTGTCTGGCTAGTTTTGTTTCTCGGCCGATGCTAGAGAAAACACCTGCTCTCTGCTCTTTCTTTGCCTAGATCTTCGCCTCTGAACTGACACCACTTTTCAATGGTTCTGTCTTGCTTCGTCTGACCTTTCTCGACCCTCTCGACAATACTCTCTCCTCCAGTATCTTCTCCCAAGTGTCAATGGCGGCGATATGGCGGCGACTCCCTCCCACGGCCGCTTCAAGTTCACTCCCTCCAACTCTCCCTTCTTAGCTCGCCCAACTCGGTCCTCCAGGTCACCCATGCGCGGTCGCACCACCTTGAATGACTCCTCCAAGCTCTCCTTGAAGCGTGTTATCGGCACTACTTGCTCCTCGCCCACGGGCTTCGACACACTCTCCTCCTCGTTCGCTTATATCGCCGGCGGCGCTGTTGTTGTGGTGGATATTAATGGCGAGAATCACACCCAACGCTTTTACCGAGCTCGACCAACTGCTGTACCCTTGTACTCAGTAGCAACATTTCAGAATACACCTTCAACACCGACAGGAACTCCCAAAGCCAACGACAGCCGTGGCCGTGTTGCACCGAACTTTCGAAACTCGCCTCATACCTCCACTGACTGGAACGAATCCCCCGGAAGCAACACATGGACCAGTCGTGAACGAATCAAAGCTGCTACATGTCTCGCGCTGAGCCGAGATGGTAAATATTTGGCTGTTGGCGAGACTGGATACGCTCCTCGTGTCCTGATTTTTAGCCTACACGATACTTCATCGGATACCCCCCTCATCTCTATTAGTGAGCATGCTTTTGGCGTCACAGCCGTAGCATGGTCCTCAGACACTCAGTACTTGGCATCCCTTGGTGCCGCCAACGATGGATTTATCTATGTTTGGAAGGTCGACCCTCGCACGGGTGCGGCCAGGCTCTTCAAACAGAACAGGTGCACATCCTATGTCAAAGACATGGTCTGGATGGGCAACTATCTCATTACGCTTGGAGTCCGCCACGTGAAGATGTGGAAGCCTGATGATGGGCCAGCCATTTCTCCTACGAAGCAAAAATTCTTGAACGACCAGCCACCGGCGTCGACTCCTCCCTCCCAGAGAACCCTACCAGGGCGTAATATCTTGCTGGGGTCTCTCCTGGAAACTACCTTTACTTGCGCTGCTGTTGTCAAAGACTCCGGCCTTATCCTTTGCTCTGAAACGGGCGATGTGTGCATTCTGGACGACGACGACAGGCAGATGAGGTTGCAAAAAGTCCTTGGTCTGGACTTTTCTATCGCCTCGATTGCCATCCGAGGCAATCTTGCTTACATCGGAGGCAAAAACGGCCATTTTGCCGTGCTGGATGCTCAGGCTGTCTTGGACGGCAAGCCCGCATCAGCATGTATCCGCGAGACGACAACGCCTTCCACAGGGCACGTCGCGCTGGGATTTCTGGCGGACAAGCTCGTGACTATCGATTCACGGCATTGTATCGACATCTGGAACTATGATCATGTTCCAGGCAAGGATGCCCAAGCTGTAGCCAGCGTCCCTATTCCTGGCCATGGACAACCAGTTACGGGCATTCAGATGCTACAGAAGCCGAATTATCTGGACGCATCGTTCCTGACTTGGACAGTCACAGGGAATGTTACTTTCTGGACACTGGAAGGCCAAGTCAAGGCCTGTGTTGACGTCCCGATTGAGATCACCGAGTCGGAAAATGACTTGGTGGGACCCATCAACCAACTAACGTGCGCTCGCACAACGAGTGATGGCAAGCTGCTCGTCTCAGCAGACCGACTTGGTGTCTTGCGCGTCACCGACATTGCGACAAAGGACTCCATACTCGACATTAAGGCTCACACGGCCGACTGCCGTTGCGTGAGCGTTTACGACACCGGCTCAAAGTTCCTCATGGCTTCTTGCGGTAGGGACCGCACGACGCAACTTTTCCACCGGACAGTGGATGGCTCTATCGAGCACTTCCAAACACTGGAATTTGCTGCCAAGGTCGTCCAAGTCCTCATCCCGTCTGATGACAAGGTGTTGACTTGCTCCTTTGACCGGACGTTGCAAATATACGACATTATTACAAAAGAAGGCGATCCAGATGCTATCGCCGCCATTCCTTCTAGGGTTATTTCACTAAGAGCTTCTCCCAGTTCCATGGTCCTGGGCCCCGGCCAAAGGACTGTGTTTGTTTCGCTTTTGGATCGATCCATTTGCCAATACGACCTCAACACGGGTCGCAAGATTTCTTGTTTCAAGTGCACAGACGAGGGCAGGGGGGAATCTGCTGTTCTCGACTCGCTCTCCTTTGGCCAATGGCCACCCAAAGACCAGGATTTTCTATTAGGGACATCCAACACGGACAAGTCCATCAGGTTATACGACGCCCAAACGGGCAGTTTCTTGGACCGCGAATGGGGACACACGGAAGCAATCAACGGAGTTTGCTTGGTTGAGGATGAAGATGGAAGCCGCAAGGTAGTGAGTGTTGGCTCGGACGGGACCATGATGATTTGGTTGTTGGATCTGAACGATCCAGTCCCCGGTTCGACGAGTAGGGATCCATCGCCGGCTAAGGATATTGTTTCTGGACGGCCGCCACTTCGGAGAGTATTGTCAAAAGCTGAACTGGCCGAGTTTCAGCGCCCTTCGACAGCATCAGGTCGAAGATCACCACCACGGACGCTCCAGCGACGGACTTCTCGATTCAATCTGGCTGCGAGTGTGACAAGGACGCCGACAAACACCTTCCCAACGAGTCCTGGAAGCACAGCTGTGGAAGATACGCCCTCACGACGACCTTCAGGAGACAGCCGGGTCAGCCCTCCAGTTAGTCCCAGAGCAAAGGTCACTCGGCGGCCATCACTCCCGGCGTTGGGGACAACTGCTCGCAAGAAGACATCATCCTCCAATCTACGGTCTGGTTTTGGATCATTGAATATGGCGACAGAACAGACCTGTCGTCAGTTGCGAACATACCGCAAGAAACTTGCTTCCTCGGAACCCATCAGTCAAGACAACCTGACCGAACTGGATCAGGAGCTGCGATTGACAGCGGCTGCGCTTGGTGATCGGGCCATTCGGAGCAAGGCGATGAACGAGACGGTCTTGAGTGGCTTACTCGACCAATACTCGGAGAGGCTGGTGACATTATTAGATGAAAAGCTGCGCCTTAACTATCTGCCCAGGGACCTAACAGAAAGGAACCTAACAGAGAGGGACGGAGAAAGTCCTGATTCTGAAGGCCAGCCAAGCGCAGATGGGGATTCAAGTTCCCTCTCGCCATAGTATATTTTGGTCTCATGTGTTATTACGGGACTTTTTTTTGTTTGTTCATTTTCATTTCTTACCCGGGTCAAGACGGCAACGGCGTTTATGGTTGATAGATTTGCGGGAAAGGGCGGCCAACGAACAAGGTTAAGCGTGGAGCGTACTCCGCTTGCCGAGTTCCATCATGATACCACTGGGTCTGGAGTCTTGTTGATAACTGATAGCAAGCACTATTAGGATGCAATCTATCATTACAGCCGGGATCGGCGTTTATTGTTGACTGATTTCTGTTCATGACATTTAATGTTGTTAAAATGTGAAGTGATACACCTGTAAGAGAGCGAGTCAGACGGACTTGCTACTCGTCAAGTCAAAGCTCACGCTTGGCGCGGTTGGCAGTAGCGAGTTGGTCGTCAGGGGTATCACGTGATTGGACACGCCTTAGCGCAGCTGGCGGCTCTGGACCTCAGCCCAGATTTTCCTCCCTGCATCTCATCGACTCTCCCCAAAACAGCTCATCCAACATTTCCGGCCAACTCAATCACGTGACATCAGGCCAGTCGATCGCGATCCCGAGGCAAAAAAATTACCACACGACAGTCGGACGGCCGAGCGCGTTTCGCAAGAGGAGGCTCCAGATAACCCCCAACCTGCATCTGCATCACGCCAGATGAAAGGCCTCACGGTCGGCATTGACGGTTTTGGAGTCATTGACTAAGGTTGCCTCTGTACGTGTTTTGATAGCGTCCCGTCTCCCCCAGCCATGACGTAGCCGTGTTTTTCCTTTGTCGCGACGAGGCCTAACTGGACAACCCACCAACCATAGACCGTGACCGTGGCGCCGGTTCATCTTCTTGCGAGACGTGAAGGCCCCCTGGATAGCTGGCGAGGTGGACCGCGGGGCATGAATCAACCGGCCGCCTACACCCCCCTCGAGTCGCTGTTGCTATTCCAGTCAGTGGTGACCAATGGAGTCGACACTGGGGCCTTCGCGCGCATCTCGGAGTCTCTGATTAGCAACTCGCTCATCAAGGATGATCCTACATACGATCCCACGCGACTGCAACCGGATGCGCTGCATCAGCTGTTCCTGCTGCTGCTAAGGGAGGAGCTGAGGACCGAGGCGGAGCGTGGGGATGCGACAGCAGATGGATCACCAGGGTCAAGGAAGAGGAAGTTGGGGACACCACCGCTGCCGACGCTTAAGGAGGTCTACGAAAATGTCGAAAAAATACCCGCGCTTGTCGACACACTCTACGCGCGATACCGCGAAGGCATCGTCAAGCAGATCCGCGAGGATGAGCGGCGGTTCGAGAATGTTCGCGGCGAGATTCAGTTGCTCGAGCGGACTGAGAGAGAGCGACGCGCAAGGGCCGCAAGTCAGAATGGAACACCGGTGCTCGCCTCGCGGGATGCGAAGCCTGTCCTCGCGCCTAATGGACCGGCTGCATCACCGACTCCAACCCCGAACTCGACGACACCGGCAGCTGTGCGGAGGGGACCTACACCGCATACACCCGTTATCCCACCAAAGCCTCCAGTTTCTCACGTTGCGCCACCAACTGTTGCTCCGCCGAGTCATCTCCCCTCTGGAACGCCGCCAGTCCGACCTACGGCATCTCCAAAGCCTCCTAATGGGAGTGGTTCTGTTCTTCAACCTCCCGCAGGTGTTCCTCAAACTGGTCCTCGACCGTTGCAACCACCACAAGCGCACCCTCCAAAGCAGGCACTTACTCCACGACCCGAGGTTGGAATCAAGCCAAAGGATGCCAATGTAACTCCTCAGACTGTGACGCCGGTAGCGGCTCCCCTCAAGTGGGAGAAGCCATATCAGCCTCCTCAAGCAGCTCATTCGACTCCACAACGACAATATCAGCCTCCTGCACAAGGACCGACGGTTCCTCCAGGGGTGCAGCATCAACCACAGCAGCACGTACAACACCCGCAACAGCAACAGCAACAGCATTGGTACCCTCAGCAGAATGCTCAGTTTTCCCCTCAAACTGCTGCTCAACCTCGCCCCCAGACACCGCAACACGCTCAACACCAGCCTCGACCACAGGCAGCTGCTCAACATCCGCCCCAGGTTCAGCAAGCTCAGCACCAGCCGCAGCAACAGGCCCAGCAACAGGCTCAGCAGGCCCAGCATGCGAAACCGCAGCATCCGCAACGACCAAATCCCCCTCAAACTCCCCAAACTCCCCAGCACCCGCAGCCCTCTCTACCACAGCATGCCACTCCCCAACAGGCTCAACACCCTTCGCCGGCACAACGTGCTCAGCAAGCTCTGCCTGTTCAACAGACTCAGCAGGCTCAACACGCTCAGCATACCCCGGTCCCTCACCAACCACAGCCGCCACGACCACAGCAACACCAACAGCAGCAGCCGCAGCGACCGGCTTCTCACAAACCGGTCCTTGTGCCTCCTCAGCATGCGGGCCAACTGGCACCTCCTTTGCAGCCAGCGCCTCCACGACCAAGTGGCGAAACCAATGTTCAAGCCCCTCAAGCTCGACCAGCGTCAACCACGCCTGTGCCGCACCCAAGCCGCCCTATTCAACCGCCACAAGGACAAGCACAGCAGGTCCCTCGTCAAATTGCGTCAGCCTCTCCTACTCCTTCTGCAGGAAGTACTGGCCCTATTGCTCCACCACAACAAAGATGGCCACCAGGATATGTACCTCAACAGGCACAACACCCCTCCCCATCTGGTTCTCCCGCACCTCTGGCATCGAAAGCGGATAACAAGGCTTATACTTCTCCTTATGTTGCTCAACCCCCACGACCTGCGATTCCTGAACATATTATCCGCCAAGCCGTCAATACACCTGTCAAGCGGCTTGGAACACCTTCTACACCACATACCCCAATTTCAGCTACACCAACACATCTCACACACGGTTTTGGAACTAGATGGGCCTCACAATCGACACCTTCCACTCCACGTCCCCTTAGTGGGGAACCCCAAAGTCCCGCGTACGAGCCAGTTAGCCCTCCTCAAAAGCCAGCAGCCTTGCCCAGCTCTGCTGGCTCAACACCAAGACCCAAGCGACAGGCGCCCAAGTCGGTACCAAAGGTGGAGCCCAATGTCCCCAAGTCTATTCGAGGACGATCGGCTCGAGCGGCACCCAAGAGTCGCGGGATTAGTGCTACTCCGTCCTTGACTCGATCCAGACGTAGTCAGTCTGTCATGTCTCATACGGATGATCACACGACACAACCCTCTGAGTCGGCGCCCAAGATTAAGGATGAGGATGCGACACCTCGGCCTACAGAGGACACTGGTGATACCACGGCAGACGAGAGTGTTCCCGGTCGACCCCTGATTGTGACCCCGAGCAGCGTGTCGTCGCGACTGCAGAAGCGAAAGCGACAGGATACACCTTCGGATCCTGCGCCGGCGACGACGCAGGTTCTGTGGACTCGTGGTTTCACCAAGGTTTCCTCGTCGGCTTTGGACCAGATCTCCAGTCACCGTGATGCCAACATGTTTGCAACCGCCCTTCGGGAGAAGGACGCGCCCAACTATCACCAAATTGTGCTGCAGCCACAAGATATAACGTCCATCCGCTCTGCTATCAAGCATGGTAATAAAGCAGCGGTCCAGGCAGCCGCGGGCTTACCAGGTGGCGACCCTGGCACAGCGCACGTGTGGCTGCCGCTCTCTGATGAGCTCGTCCCTCCTAAGGGCATCATCAACAGCGCCCAGCTTGAACGTGAGCTTGTCCACATGTTCTGCAATGCCATCATGTACAACCCCGACCCAGACCGTGGCCCTGGATCAGCGTTTATGAAACGGTCTCAGGACGAGGAAGAGGAGGTGGTAGGCTATCGCCTCGACGAGAACGGCGTGGTGAAGAACACCCGCAGCATGTTCGTTGAGGTCGAGAAGCTCCTGGGCGAGCTACGGAGCGCAGAAAAGGAGCGCAGCGCGCCACCGCCTTCTACCAACCGTCCTGCAAGTGTCGCCACACCCGCCGAGGAGACGGGTGATGATGATGACGAGCCAGGTGAACGTGAGACGGGGACGGTTAAGAGACGTCGAATTGGAACCAGGGGTTGAGTGAAGCTTCACCGCTCCGAGGTCACAACGACTTTGGATGTTGGCTTTGTGCGCTGCAGAGTGAAGCGCAGCTTGTACTTTTTTGATTGTGTACAGCGTCTAGAATACTGAGCTAGCTCATTGTTAATTACCCACCACTCAAGCATCCCATCGACTGATGCGTGTATGCTATGCAACAATTACTATTCCCTTCAAACGCGCCTTTGCTGTCTATTTGTGTCTGTGAAGTCTCCCGAAACTCCCAACGCCGTCATTACCCAGGTTCTTACAAGGGTCCACCGTCTTTGAGCTAAAGTATGTAGTAGAGTCAAGATATAAAGGCTCATTAAAGTTTAGGGGCGCCTTGAGATGTGCTCGACCGATTACTATGCAAGCCCTTTTTTGAGCCGGCGCCATCCTCAGCTGGTTGCTTGCGAGGCCAGTCAGGGCAAATATCGATATTGTCTCTGGGGAACCACCATTCGAGGAAGAGGAAGAATAGGTAGTCGACGACACAGCACAAGCAGAATAGCTTGCCGGCCCATATACCGCAGCCATAGTAGCGTTTCAGACGATCGATGAGAGCAAAGTTGCGAATCCGACTGCCGTAGCCAGAGGTATCGATGCCGTAGAACTCGTCTTCAGGGATAGTGCCCGAGATGCCGTCGTAGACACGCTCAGTGCGGAGGGCAACATTTTGCCACGAGTACATCTTCTTGACCTGGTCATGGAACTTTTCCGTGCGAATCTTACCCGCGCGGATGGCGGTGATGGCCTTTCCGGTAGCAAGCACGATATCGTCTTCCTCTGGCTTGGCAAATGTTGTCATGTGGGAGGGAAGCACCTCGGGAATACCACCAACCTGGGTGCACACGACGTACAGCCCGCAGCTGGCTGCCTCGACAATGACGGTACCAAAGGCTTCGGTGAGAGATGGATGGAGGTAGATGTGACCACGGACCATGACATCGCGGACCTCCTCGTGGCGGATGGGACCGAGCATCTCGACGCGATCCTGAAGAACGTTTGTCTCGATCATCTGCTCGAGATCAATGGCCTTGGGACCAGAACCGGCAATGATGAAGCGTGTGTTGGGATGATTCTCGAGCACACGAGGGATAGAGGCGATAAGGAGGTCAGTTCCCTTGTTGTAGAAAAGACGTGAGATGACGACAATGGTGATAATGTCGCGGGGTCCTATTCGTTGGGGAGGAGGGTAGACTGGGGCTTCAGAGCCAAACGTTGTGCTCTGAGGTGAGGGAGAAGCTGGAGTATCCTTGGGACGGAAGTTTTCTGCCACGACAGCGTTGGGTATGACTGAGACCATCAGGGGGTCAAGTGATGCCCGAAGCACAGTGTTTTCCTTGCTGCGATGATGTTAGAAGAGTTCTGGCATGGCATTGCTTTAAGTCTCACCATGTATGGCTCACGCAGATACTATGATCAACATCACTCAGTGTAAACTTGAGGAGTTTGTTGGTGAGAATGGTTCCAGCGTCGGCGAAGCCAAACAGCGAGTGATCAGTAAAGGCAGTGCGCAAGCCCATGGTGCGGGCGTGGAGGATGGCCTCGTGGCAAAGACTGCTGAGACTGCCATGGCCATGAACAATCTCGATGCGTTCTCGGATGCAAATGTTTCTGAAGATGGGAAAGAAGGAGAAGACGGTGGGAAAGGTGGCGTGGCGATAGATCTCGAGGAAGGGCACGTGGTAGACCTTGACGCCGTTGGTGAGATAGCGGACGCCCTTGCGGTCGTCGTAGGCATGAGTTATGACAATGACCTTGTGGCCGCGGTCGACGAGCTTTGTGGCGAGTTGGTAGATGTGTGACTCGATGCCTCCAGGCTGGGGGAAGAAGAAGTCGCTAACCATAGCGATGTTGTATGTGCGGCGTGTCATGATGGCGGCGGTTAGGGGGGTTCCAGCAGAGCTGGGCCCCTGAAGATGTCTAAATGAGCCCTTACTCAGCACTTGCTGAGGTGTTTCAGCCGATAGGACTCAATTGATGGTGTTTTGCTGCGCTGTCGTGATCATGGACTCATCTCATGCTTGTCTCCTGCTCTCATTCCACGTGTAAGACATGGCGATGCTGCAGGGGTGGTGTTTCCTGAGTGGACCATGCCAAGCTAGACCGCGTAGAAATTTAGCGGTCAGAGGCGGCAGAATCGCGATAAGATGCTTGATCCACCCAAAATTTTGGGAAGGAATAAGTCCAAGGCCCCTCCACCAACGATTCTGTATACAGATTTCTATGGTCTTGGAGAGGAATTGACCTAGAAATCATGTATGCCAGATACGTCCCTCCCTCAAAGGGCGGAAGCTCTTCGAATGCGGCACCAGCGCCCGCTGCGCCGGCAAAACCTTCCATCACGAGCGACGGCTTCAACTACTCACGATACGTCCCTGGCGCAAAGCCTGCGCCTGCGCCAAAGCCCGTCGAGGTGCCACAAGTCCAATACTTTGATGACGAGCCGACACCGCAGAAGCCGAAGCGGAAATGGGAATCTACAGAGGAGGCTCAGAGCTCTCCGCAGCCTGACAGCAAAAAGTCCAAGACCGAAGTAGAGACGGCGAAGAAGGACGAAGAAGAAGAACCCAAGAAGAAGAAGAAGGTTAGAAGAGGCAAGAGAAGGACCGGGGCTACAAAGGACGACGATGAGGAGCCAGAAGCCCCCAAAGACAAGGCCGAACCACAAGAGGTTGAGAAAGAGACATCCAAGGAGATAAGTGAGGTCCAGGAGGAGAGTCAGACAGTCGAGGAGGACTCTGAGAAGGACAAGAATGAGAGGAAGAAGAAGGAAAAGAAGGAGAAAAAGGAAAAGAAAGACAAAAAGAGGGAGAAGAAACAAGAACCGGAACAAGCTGAAGAGGAGAAGCCTGAAGTGAACGACGACAACGAAGATGTATCCATGGTCGATGCTACAGGTCCCGAGGCGGCTGAGGAAGTTCCCGAACCGGTTGAGACTGTGAAGGCAAGCGAAGAAAAGAAGGAGAGGAAGCGGGAGAAGAAGAAGAAACACAAGGAGCCTGAACCGACAGAGGGAGAAGCAGCCGAGGAGGACACTAAGAGACATAAGGCGGTGCTTGAGCGGTTGGAAAAGTCGTTGAGGTTCGCCAGCGAGACGGTACAGGACGTCGAGGAGGAATCAGATCAAGGAGAGCTCCATGGCCTGGAACCTCTACCTCAGCCCGAACCTATCTCCATCACAACCTCCAAGCCAAGTTACGAGACTCTTCCACCTTGGTTGGCGGAGCCAATTCGTGTCTCACAAGATACACGCACGCCCTTTGCAGATCTCGGCATTCTGCCCAAGGCAGCTCGTGTCCTAGAGGAGAAGGGCTTCAAGGATGCTTTTGCAGTGCAGACGGCAGCAATTCCTCTCCTACTCCCAACAAGCAAGCAACGGCCAGGTGACGTCCTCATCTCTGCTGCCACAGGTTCTGGAAAGACCCTTGCATACGCGCTACCTGTCGTACGAGATATCAGCCAAGGCGCTGTGACAAGGCTCCGGGCTCTGGTGGTTCTCCCTACGCGTGAACTGGTGAAGCAAGCCCAAGAGGCTTTTGAACTCTGCGCCAGGGCATTTGAAGGTGGAGACCGGAAGAGGGTCAGAGTGGGCATCTCGATTGGATCTCAGTCACTCAAGCATGAGCAGGAGTCTTTGATGGATCGAGAGGTTCGGTATGACCCTGACACATACAAGAAGCTACAAGAGGAGAGCGAGCAAAGGAAACAAAAGGCTGGTATCTCTGCTCTCGATGACCTTGACGATGACGAAGCCGATCCTCGGTTGAGTAGCATGGACGGCTACGTTGTGGACTTTCCCTCAAAGGTGGACGTTCTAATCTGCACTCCTGGACGATTGGTAGAGCACATGGAACAGACTCCTGGCTTCAGCCTCGACTACGTTCGATGGTTGGTGGTTGATGAGGCTGACAAGCTTCTTGCGCAAAGCTTCCAGGGCTGGCTGGACCTCGCCATGGATAAGTTCCGTGTCAGCAAGTTCAGTGCCCGGGACTTTCCAGACATGGACTTTTCGGGTGTTCGCAAGGTCATTCTCAGTGCTACTCTTACCAGGGATCTGAGCCTGCTTAACCAGCTGGGTCTGCGACGGCCGCGACTGATCGTCCTGGAGAGCGATGGCGATGTTCAGATCGCCGAGCATTCTCTGCCTGTACTCCTGAAGGAGCACGCTATAAGAGTTCACGACACGAATCTCAAGCCGCTTTACTTGCTTGAGCTGCTCCGAAGCCAGGATATGCTCATGGCCAGCCCGAACAAGGATGAAGACGCTGCTAAGCCTGATGAAGCTGAAGAGTCTGATACCAGCTCGAGCTCGGACTCTAGCTCAGACTCTGATTCTTCTGATTCTGACTCTGACTCTGACGCAACCTCAGACACAAGCTCCGATTCCGACTCTGACTCGGATTCAGAATCTGAGCCCAAGTCGAAACGGTCATCAGGTCGCTCGCTCAAGTCTCATATTCCTGTCTCTCTCATCTTTACCAAGTCCAACGAGTCGGCGCTTCGTCTATCACGACTGTTGGCGCTGCTCGACCCTTCGCTGGCCTCGCATATTGGCACACTCACATCTACGACACCTACACACATCCGTCGCAAGACTTTGCGCTCTTTCATGACACCATCCTCTCCTATCCGACTTCTCATCGCTTCCGATCTCGTTGCCCGAGGTATCGATCTTCCCAACCTCGACCACGTCATCAACTACGATCTGCCGCCGAGCGTTGCTGGTTATGTCCACCGAGTTGGTCGTACAGCTCGAGCTGGAAGGTCCGGATGCGCATGGACACTGGTGGGCGATGATGAGAGTGGTTGGTTCTGGGGCAAGATTGCTAAGGGTGCAGGTGTCAGGAGAGCTCAAAAGATGGAGAGAACGAGGATTGAAGAGATGGGTGAGGAGAAGGTGGAGGAGTATGAGGCTGCCCTGGAAAAGTTGGGCAAGGAGGCTGGAAGGTGATGTAGATATTAGAGATGGGCGCGCGTGGCGCATCTGGAGTTACATACCCAATCAAGCACTTGACTACACACAACGTCGGTATCTAGTAACCTGCCATTTGGCTGACATGTCTTTATCCTCAGTCAGACCAGTTGTTGTGCTCTGGGAGACCCGATGGCACAACTCGTGAACCAGAGCCATTCTCAGTTAGGCTTCCATACCCCTGTGCCCCTTTCCCCTTGTTTGGCCGCTCTGATGGAGTCTCTTCTTCTTCCACGATGGATCTCTCTGGCCCCGGCAATAGAGAGCGACGGGTCTCATGGTGGTCTTCTGTCTGACCTCGATGATACTTGGGCCAGGAATTCCATGAGCCCATGCCATCCTTGACAAGTATGAGACAGATTATCTTGTCCTACTGTTAACGACTTGTCTATGCCATCTTCTGGTATTACTTACCTGTATAAGACCGGCCGCTAGCACAACAATCAAGTCCATGCCTGAAGTCTTCTGAAGTGCTCCCCTCCATGGTCCTTTGCAAGCGACATCCCGCTCATACCTCTTGACGCATCTGTCCGCATCCCCTGGGGGAAACGGATAGGCCCGATCCTTAACCGTGTTTAGTCCACAGCAGTCGTACGCATCTTGAATACTTTGTATTCCGTGAGCGTCGTGGGAGCGAAACATGTGCAACCACTGTGTTTCGAGCATGCAGTCCAAAGTGGAGGAAGGCAGGATCGTCTCGAAGAGGATGGTCGCGAGGATGGTTGTTGCGAGGCCTTGAAGGACTTGGACGATCAAGGGGGCGAGCTTGGGGACTCGATTGGAGGAGGAAGACAAAATCGGACCGTGGCGAGAGTAGAACATGTTGATTAGAAAGCCGGAAACGGGGAGGAGGATGGTAAGGACGGAGACAGCGGGCGAGATGGGGAGGGATAAGGATGAGGCGTGGATGTGGACGCCGCTGAGGGACAATTAGTTGAAGCCTTGCAACGGAGAGTGGAAACACTCACATGGCGATTCCAAGCAGCACGAGGCTGAGCTGCAAGATATGGTGAGTCTATTGATGTAGCCATTCAGAGCTGTTGTCGACTTACAAGGATATGTACTATAACGGGGTTGATCTTGATCATTTTGGGGGCAGCTCAAGCAGTAGTTATGATGAAAGTAGAAAGAGAACGGAAAGAGAAGAAGAGAAAGAAACTCGCGCCTTTTCAGTCCCGATTGACAAGGTCTTGTTGGTTGGGTTGAAAATGCAACTGTAGGCATTCAATGACGAGGACCTTTCCCCACAAGATGCGGGAGGCCGACCACAGGCAGAATGGGACGTGTCAGCGCGCACAGTGGGTGAATGTAAACAAACATGACGGTAGATTAATTGGATCGATATAGAGGTAGACATTTGATAAACTGACTTGCCTATTTGATGTACCGTCGTTCTTATCTCTTCACCCACGGAGATAGCGTCCAGTTTAAAAAGGACCTTGATAACCTAATGTACAAGGGTTTTGTGATACTCTATATTATCTTGGACCATATAATGTTGATCTACAATGGTTATACAATGCAATTTTCATGATTACCCAAGGATAGGTAGGTAGCTACGCTGAGTAGGAGCAGTGTGATAAATATTCACCCCTGGAGGTAGTTAACACATGGCTATCACGGATGCTTTGGGCTGAAACATAATATGTAAACGTATCTTCATATATCCTAGCGTAGGTAGAACCATTCTAGTTGATTATTCAAACATAGGAAAATCTCGTGTAAATGACAGTCGGGCATGAGTTGCAGTACATACTGCTAAACAAACACACTTTTTTCGTACACAGACCATACTCGAAGAGTCTCGAGAGGTCTAGTTATACAGTCGTTTTTCGTCAAGAGATATTGGTAGCCAAAGCTGAGATCTCTTGACGAGGGTACATGAGAACGTATATGAAACAAAGAAAAGGCTGCTTCTCAAAGGAGCGAGCATCAACAGGAAGGAAATTGCGTGAGAGAAAAGAGTGACACTAAATCAATGTAAAGATAATCAGAAAACGACAAGATGAAGTTAGCAAAGGTTGTTTGCTGGATAGCTCAAGTAAAACGACTCGGGAGCCATGCCAGTTTTAGCATCAAAACTCTGGTAGTCGTCCTCGACCGAAGTGGCAGAGCTGGTCCCAGCCTGGTACGGATCCGAGCAGTCAGACGAATATGAAGATTCAAACATACCAGAGGCGTCGTTGGTGAAGCTCGTGCCACCATCAACGCCTCCAACCATGTCTTCATATCCCATGTCGCAGATGTCGTCGAGGAAGTCGAGGAAGCCCGCCTCCCCCGCCAGGTTGGAAGTTTCTTCCGAGGTCATGCCCGGGAGAGGTATATGGCTAGCGACTTGATGCGGGAGATCCTGTAGCTTCTCCATAACGTCGTCCTTGACTTGTGGCTCGTAGTGTATGAGGGCCTTCTCGACCGCCCTGGTTACGTGGTCGTGGATGAGGGGCTCGACCTTCTTCCACCACTCGCGGTACTCGGGGATGTTGTCCCGGTTGATGGTGGAAGCTTTGGCTGTAGACAGGGAAGTGTCGTGGTCTGGAGTTGGTTAGTATCTTGTGAGGCGTGTCAGGGGCTGCTCATGACTTACAAGGCGACGGGATACTAGGGTCATCAGGGGACAAGTTGAATAAGATACCATACCACTCCTTCCACTTTTCCTCTGGAGACTTTCGGGTTCTTGCCTTGAGCTTCTTGGCCTGCTCGTCGTCATATCCATCTGCGAGATCTCGAGGGATCTTGCTTTGGTCCTTGACTGGGCACGGTGTAGTCTCTCGTTGGTGCTTCTTGAGCTCCTCGTCCTTCTTGAACCGACGAAGGCATCTGTTGCACTGGGACTTGGGAAGACTATGGGCACGCTCAAGATGTTCCCTAGACATAATTAGTAACCTGTCTGTGTGAATTTTGGGCTCACTTACTTTACCCGAGGCAGCTCTGTCCATCCAGGACCACAGCACGTGCGCTTCGCCCCAAACGTCTTGGGGTCGTACTGGTGATAGGGACATGCGAAGCGCGGCTTGTTGTCGTCCTTTTCGATCCTTGCCCTCTTCTTATCCTTCTTCTTTCTGAAACTGTCATCATCCTCACTGTTGTCGCTCTCGTCCCTGCTACCATGTCGGCTGGACCTCTTCTGGCCAGCAGCCGACGAGCGGGACGTGGACTTGAAGCCCTGAACGGAACTCGATGAAGGGTGTGATCCCTGTTCAGGATCGCACCCTTCCTCGAGTGCGTCCAGCTTTCGTTTATAGCATCCCGAGATAGCAGCCATTAAACTGTCGACGATGATCTGCTTGCGGCGGGACAGCTCTTGGTTGATGCAGTGGTCTAGATAGGCAGCCGACAGCTTCGTAGTGGGCTCGGCGTCTGAGGAAGCGGCGGCTCGCCGTCCACCATCTGGCGACAGAGGCACGTTGGGGGGCTTTGCGCGCTCGTCTGCGAGGTGGTTGCGGTGTCCTTGAGGGGACGAGTTGACTTGGCCGCTTCTGGAATGTGTGAGGATGTGTATACATGAGATGATATGGGCTACTCACGGGGAGGCAGGAGAACCTTGACGGCCCTGACCGCGCTCCAGGTCCTTCTTAGACCGGGACTTTCGTGATGTGCCAATAGATTGGTTCTACATGGTCAGAGTTGGACAATAGCCGTTGAAGTAAGACATACAGTATGTGAATGAGATACAGTGTGTTCAGTTGATGAGCGAGATGGCTTGTTTCGAGTGACAAAGACTTTCTCTTCCGAAGCCTGAGGCATATCCGATCGCCGGCTGCCCAGACGACGGTCTATAGTTGATTTGTCGAGGGACGGCTTGAACCTCAGGAAGCCGGGGATGAGGTGTTGTAACTTGGAATGGGCGGAGCGGTAGAAGAAGGTGTCTCGATGGTGACGGTTCGAGGAATATCGTGTGGCTTTGTCTCTCAACGAGGGCATTCTCGTGAGCTACGAGGTCGTTTCTGGTGCATGTTTTAGCCTTTGCACTTTTTAATGAGAATGATGAGACGCCTTGAGAAGTAGAGAATAGAAAGTTGGCCAGAGTTTAAACATTGAGAGTAACAAGATAAAGAACTATATATATGTACTCACTATGGCCCGACTTGCCACTTAATAATTGTCAAGAGATGTTGGTAAAACCCGCAAATGCGTACTCCGCGATGACGGCTGCCATGTTCGCCGACCGCGGGGAAGAGAGAAGGGCACATCTGCGATGTCGAGGGACAAGCCATATAAACACGCGCGTGTGAGTGGATGCTTCTGCGCGAGAGATAATAGATGTACGACTTACTTGTTCATGCAGCAGACGCAACGAATTAAAGAGTCACGATGAACGTGATGGTAAACAAGGCTATACCTGTTTGGACCTTCCAGGTCATCCGGCCTGCATTGTAAGGCGGATGGATTGCATATTGCATCGCGGGAACAAGGCGTCGATGTACATGATGATGGTTCGCAAACTACTGATCGACCCATTTTGCTATCAAGTGGTTTGCCCAAGGCGATCATCACCCCCGCGGGCCTCGACGAATCATCTTGAGGCGAGGATAGGCAGGGCAGTCACACGGAGAACTGCAGTCAGCCGCTGCCAATTGAGGTCAAGATCAGTTGTGATCAAGTTACACTTTTTGAATGATACGAGCCCCAAGTCTAGCCCGCATTGTCCGGCAGTTGTCAATTCAGCCATGGCTTGGTTGTACAAAGAGTCGAGGCTGTCAAGACACAAGTTGTGTATCACGTCAACCCAAGGTCAATCCCACACAAACTGCCTCATCAATCTCAAGCATGAACCATGAGATTTACTGCTTCTTGCCGTTCTTCTCCTGCTGCTTCCGGGCCACGATCCCATCCACCCGCTTGAACGACGGGAACCCCTCAACGAAGCAGTTGGACAGCCACAACCACCACTGTCCAGACAACCTCTCCACGCCGTGCCTCTGCAGCTTCCTGTCGAAAAAGTAACACTCGACCACGTGGATCCCGACGACCGGCCAGAAGATGGCGTTGACGAGCCAGCTGTAGAACGTAGGTCCTCCCGGGAACCCCGTCTCCAGCAGCCTCCAGACGTCGGTGCCAGGCTGCACCCAGGGGAGGGTGGCGGCGCAGAAGAAGTAAAAGATTACAGATCCGGTAACTATAATTCCGAAACCCTCGGGTGGCCTGTAGCCTTCAATGACCACGTCGCTGAGGCCCAGCGCCTCGCGGGCCTCAACCGCCATCTCGATGATGCGGTCCTTGGCCTCTCCCCAGCCCTTGAGCGGCGGCGTGAACGGGATAAAGTGGTCCCTCCCGTCCTTTGAGCGAATAGTCATGCCATTGAGATCGACGTCCCGCAAGGTCGGGGACGAAGCGGCGCCGGCGGATAGGTGAGCGTAGTGACGCAGGTAGTAGGAGATCTCGCGCGTGTGGTCCTGGTTCATGTGCGACACGATGCGCTTCTTGCGGGCATCATCAGCAGAGGCCATTTTTGAGGATGTTGTAGGTGCCTTGGGGGCGGTATTTGGTGGGTGTGTTTCAATTGGGGCGTTTGGTGTTGAGAAGTGGTTGGTGGGCCTTTTGCTTGTGATTGTGAGCGCGACTTTGACCGAGTGAGGTTGAAAGTGGAGCCCCCTGCATTTCATCTCGGAGCCGGGATCGGAGATGGATAAATTGATGGGTTATTTTACCCCAAGGTCAAGATCAGTTAGAATTCACTTGGTATGCAATTTGAATGCCAATTGGGTTTATTTTGCTTGTCGAGGTGTGTGGCCGTGTAAGAGGTAACCAACATGATACACAGATACCAACCGTCTTACAAACACCAACACCAACTGGACACACAAATCTTGATCATAACTAAACATTTATTCGGTTCTGGTACTATCGTGTGCAATTCGCTTGCAATAAAAGCTTCTAATTCATCATGACTCGTTAACCCTCGCTCGTTTCTTGAACATGTCCCTTTTCCGCATCCCATTTATTCACCGCAACCTGCGTCGTCGTTCTTGTCTTGACACGGATGCCAATTCTCTCTCCCACCTGAGAAATCATGGAGAATCTCTGTCCTCCTTGAATTTCTGTTTGTACGTTTCCTCGGATCTTGTCTCCTAGTCGTAGATGGGACTGTGCCTGCTTCTTGCTCCGTTTTTCGATTAGATTCCTGAACGAGCTCATCTGTCGTAACTTTGTTATCGAAGTTTTTAGTTTGACTCGGAGAGTCTCGGTCGAATTTGTCTTTCCTGTCTCGGGTCGGGCGCTGGATATAGGTCGAATGCTGGATATGGGTCGACTGGATGGAGGCCGACTTGAAAAGGCTCGACTTGATGGAGGGTGGCTCGACTCTAGGCGACTCTCCCGCCATTCTCTGTCGCTAGGCGAATCCACGCTCGTGAGCGAAGGCCAAATATTTGGGAGGCATGCGACAATGACCAAGGAAGAAACTTCAACATCCATCCAGATAATTCGGTCGCGATAGTCCCACACTGGTTTCATCTTGGCGGCAAAGTCGACCATCTGCCACAGACGAAAGCACGAGACTGCCAATGCAAACACTGAGAGTGCGAGCATGCCCGTGACTATCAACCTCGGTCCAATCCCCGTTGAAAGTCGACAAACTGAAAGAAGCACCCCGACAAAAAGAGCGGCATTAAATGCAATGTCGAAACCAGCTGCCACATGTGAGAGAACCTGTTGGTTGAAACATTGGCCGTTTTCAGGACTTTGCGTCCAGCCGTTCCATGGAAAGTCGATTGGTGAACATTGGAATATACGCAAGAAAATAAAAACGATTGTGAAAATGGCGATAAACGCCATGGCCGTGTAGGATATAATTTGGTGTCGGCTGCGAGGGAAGATGCGGAGGCACACGAGGAGAACCGCCAGTCTCGATAGGCATAGACAGGCAAGTTCGAAGACTTCGGCAATGTAGACGATCTAACCATGACGTTAGAAAAGGTGGAAAAGATTAGCCATTATTAATCACACGTACCTTGAGTCCGTCTGTGACATTTTGCACAGCGGTATCCCAAGTAGTCAAATCGGCCGTCACAAACCAAGCTAGGCGATATTAGCATGCCCAGTCCATTGCCAAAAAAACCATACATCATACCTAAGTGAACCAAAGTGGCAAAGACTGTGTAGAGAAGCTTGAAATATTGTCAGACTTGATCCTCACTCTCTCGATGTCCAATCTTACCCCACAAATCACCATGACATGGTCATCCAAGGAGAGTCTGCTGCAGGTTGCCCAGCTCGAAAACACTCGTAGCCAAGGGCTCAGCCATGCTGGGGTTTCTGCTGCGAGTAGAACGTAGTGGTCGTTTCGCTCGGAGCCGGGTTCATCAATACACATCCGGCCTCGAACATTTGCGAATCCTGGTCGTTGTTAGATTCGAGGTACGAGATCGTCGTTGAATAGCAGTCATACTCAATCGTTCCATACCAGAGCATTCGAGAGAAATGCAAGTATCGACTTCGCGGTTTGGGCTGCCTCCATTGCAAAGAGCAGTGGCATTTATCCCAGTCCCGCTAGATAAGTCGCCATACGACGACTCAAGGCATTTTGACTATCACTGTCAGCAGGGCAAAAATGTCAGAGACAAAGCACTCACAGCACAGCTTGGTAGCCCGCCGGTTGACTCAAACCCATTGGCGCATACTCCAGCGATGAGCAACGGCGAGCAAATTGCCCAGGACGCGAGCTTCATACCCGTTGACTAGCATTGAGGCAGATTACTAGCAGGCAAAGTCACGACAAAAATCTCTTTTGCGCAGAGGCATCAACTCAGAACCATAAATCTCTTCGTGCCTGGCCGCATCTATAAAACCCCCGGATCGACAATGGACAAAGGGGGGCCCTACACGTGTAGTGCAGGCATGGCATCTGCATGCAACTGTAACGAGAACTAACACTAGCTCTGGGAGCTATAACTGCCATGGGAAACCCCTGTAGTTATCGGCATTGCAGAGGTTTAGCATTGAGGATCGCCTGAGAATCGCGGACGTGCTCTTACACAGACCAGCCGAACAGACGCAAATTCCATCATGCGGCTCAGTCTTAATAGCATGGATGCTTAAATTGCTTCTCAGAATAGCGACTGTGGTAACATTCATCTCGGTTGCCCCGGTCTGAGGACTGAGTCCATCAAGATCCACGGCTTGACCGATGGACTTTCATCAGGTCCTTGGGCACATTAAGATGCAACCCCCCTATCGCCGCATTGAGGGCGCCCAGCTTATGCACAAGTCAGCAAACCAAGAACTTTGCCATATGCACCCTCAAGTCCTATTCCCTCCCTGTGCGACGCATGGGTTGGCCCTAAACCAGGGAGTATGCAACCTCACCGAGCTGTAGCCACTCAGAGCTGGAATAAAGAAGTCTGTTGAAGCTCTCTGCACCAAGAATTGAGCTCACACTGGAGCTTTGACCAGGCCAAAACTGGGGCAGCGTCGTACGAGAGCAGTTGCATGCTTCAGGTGAAACCGCGGGCTCCTTTGGCGATGCAGCAGCGCATGATCCAGCCCGTGGAAAATTTCTCCCCGCAAGCTGGAGGGTTGGACAGAGTTTGGGCTGGGAATAGAGGCTTCTCGGGGCAGTTAGATTAGAGCATGGCAACTTTGCCAGATGATCACCAAGCACACAGACTCTTTGCCAGGGTTATAATTAGAAGGCGATTGATGTTAGCTTCGATCTGAGAAATCTTCCAGAAGACTTCTTCTGGATCCCTTAGACCGCCACTTGCGAGTCAGAGTCAGCCTGGCTTCCCAGGGTCCATCCGGTGCCACATCATCCCGCGTTAGCTTTCCAGCTTGTCGACGCAAGAGGGGGAGACCTGAAACGTGTGGCGAGTGAACTTTGGTCCTCAGGAACAGTGGGAGCTGCAGGTGTCACGTGGGCACGAGGTTGAAGCTGTTAGAGTGTGAGAGCCGTGTGCTCGGGTTCTTGTATCGCCAATTGAGGA